CAACATACGCACTTTAAAGTTATGAAACTGACAACGAAACGAACCCAAAATAGACTATACTTATAAACCGTGTAGTTAAAATACATTAAATTATTACATGAATAGCTTTTTTTAAAATAAATTTATTACATTTATAGCTTTTTTTTTATTATTATTTTTATATGTATGTATGAAAATCTAAAATTTTCATTGTTTATTGTCTATTTAAACTTTTAAAATAATCAATACTAACAGTTTCATCCATACACTAAACACATCATTCCCAAATTTTCAAAACGTTAATTACATCAGAAATACTACGACCGGAGAATCAATGGCACATCCTATGGATTCAAATTCTTAAACGAGAGTCACCGACGCAGTCGGTAACTGAGACAATAAACAGTTAGCATATGAATATGAATTTCTTACAGCAACACAAACGAGTCTAAAATCTATGTTAGCTAACGAGAAGCAATCATCGAGAGACAACCTGTTCTTTCATTCAGTCTTCCGAACTAGCCTTGTCGTGCGCCACAGGCGACTTGGTAGCGCTGGAACTAGAACCGCTACCGATCTTTGAAGCTGTCCTGTAATTTCTCACCAGTGGAACCAGTGACTGGACAACATCGGCCATCAGCGGCCTGTAATCTGCCTCTGGTTGAACACACATTGCGGCTATGGCTGCAACTTGAACAACATCCTTCATGGAGTATTGACCCTCCAATGCAGGGTCCATTATATGCATCACTTTCTCCCTATCAGTCAGCCTCGGCAAAGCCTACCTCACCAATCGACGTCCGAACGTACGAGAAATAAGTATTGAAGTTAAGAAATTAGAAACCGAAAATCCGAGTCATCGATGTTAGTTTGAGAACTTGGTCAAGTAAGCTTACCCAAGAAACAAGGGAAGCTTCCCCAGGAGTTCTCTTCATATCAACTGGAACTCTGCCTGTAAGCAGCTCCAAGAGGACAACCCCATAACTATAGACATCTGACTTTGTTGTCAAATGCCCTGTTAGCGCATACCTGCAAGAAAAACGTTACTGAAACTTATAAGAAGGCTGTTCCCGTGCGCTTCAAAAACTGGGCAATAATAATGGTATTGTGAGATCCCACGTCAGTTGAGGAGGAGAACGAAACATTCTTTAACTTCTTAGTAGACGTGTTTTAAAAACCTTGAGGGAAAGCCCGAAAGGAAAAATCCAAAGAGAACAATATCTGCTAGCGGTGGGCTTGAGCCGTTACAGAAACCATCAACCATTTTCATGAAAAACGACGCAAAATAGTCATCTAGGACGAAGGTTCTTACTCAGGCGCAACATATCCTTGTGTCCCCAGTACTCGAGTGGATACGTGTCCCCCGACTTTGTCTGAACCGATCTTTGCCAATCCAAAATCAGAAACCTTGGCATGAAGATTTTTGTCCAACAGAACATTGCTGCTCTTGAAATCCCTATGAATTACTGGGGGGCTTACATGTTCATGTAAATACTCCAAACCCTTGGCAGCTTCAAGCGCAACTCGCAACCGCGTTTCCCAGTCCAACTTAACGCCGACTGAATTTGAACCTGGATTTCAAATTTCACGAATGAAAAACAAAAAATGAAAAAAAAAAAATCGTGTTCTATATAACGGAGTAATCGTGTTCTATATCTATTACTTACTGCTAACAGGATACAGATGTTCTTGCAGACCGCCATTAGCCATGAACTCGTAAACGAGCAATTTATGATTGCTATTAGAGCAATACCCGAGCAAGGCCAACAAATATGGCGAATGAAGTCGACTTAACAATTCCACCTATCGACAAGGTTATCGACCAATCAATAATCGGTTTCTAAAGCCCAAAGAACAAGGGCTAAATATCTGTTTAATTTATCAAAGCATACAAAATGAGACTAGAAATTACCTCCACTTTAAATTCATCCTCTCCCTGCTTCCCCGCTTGATCCATAAGCTTAATCGCAACCTTTCTCCCATCGTTGAGAACTCCTCGGTATACATATCCAAAGCTACCGTGCCCGACCACGTTTGACTTGCTAAAGCCACAGGTAGCTGAGTATAGCTGCTTGAAGGTGAACACTTGGAGGCCTTTCTCGGTGGAAAATTCTTTAACATTGTCAAAACTACCTCCCTTCTCAAGATCATCCCCTTCAAGAATCGAATTACCATCAATTTTATGATATATGCCGAAAAATTAAAGTTTAAAAGCTAAAACCAAGTTCAACAAGGAATTGATATTTGAAGCATAGAGGGAAAAACTCGGGCCACTAAGTGAATGCAACGGGTTGCATTCTCGTTTTGGCAAGGAATAAATGTTGAACACAACTCTTTGTGGAAAATACTTGCACGGTTTGTTAAGACCAATCGAGAAGAGATTACAAGATACTCTGTAGAATACCACTATACTTTGCTCTACTCGAGCCTGCTTGGAATTTCTTGGGATTAAAACCTTGTTAGGGTGGATAGGTATTTACAGGAGAGGCTAGACAATTTATTCATAAAATATCTAATCATCTATTCCTAAAAGACTTAAATAATTATTGGGTTTGACCCTATTGGGCTAGTGATGATATTTTACCAGCAATTATTTATTTGAGTTCAGTAACATGTAGAGATGAGGACGAAAAACCGAATCTCTGACCTTTTAATTGAAGATATAAGTGCTTAACTAGTTGAGTTATGATCAAAATAACAATCAGAAACGAAGTTCCTAGAATATTTGAACACAATCACCCGAATGTATATTTAAGGCTTATATAGCATAACGATAACAATGATTTACGAAAAACCAAATAGATGCAAATATATGCTCTTATGCAATAGATGCAAATGACCAATATGAGCATAGCTTAGCGGTAAACGGCATCTACTCCTACCTTTAAGGCTCGATGATTTACGAAAAACCAAATAGATACAAATATATGCACTTACGCAATAGATGCAAATGATCAACATGAGCATAGCTTAGCAATAAATGACATCTACTCCTACCTTTAAGGCTCGATGATTTACGAAAAACCAAATAGATACAAATATATGCTCTTATGCAATAGATGCAAACGACTAATATGAGCATAGCTTAGCAGTAAACGACATCTACTCCTACCTTTAAGGCTCGATGATTTACAAAAAACCAAATAGATACAGATATATGCTCTTATGCAATAGATGCAAATGACCAATACGAGCATAGCTGAGCAGTAAATGACATCTACTCCTACCTTGGCTGGAGGTTCAAATCCCAAAGAGTTTCCAAACATTCAGAAGTTTCAATTTCCTTAAACTACCAAAGCAAAATAATCACAACCATCCTTGCTATAAGTGAATGGCATCAGAGGAGAAATAAATGCATTAATTATAAGAAGAAACTCCAAGAAAGTGGACCACAAGAAAATTTTAAAATAAAATCCTCCTTAGTCATTAGTCATTACTGTTGTGCCGACAAGTTCTAATCATACAGGAAAGGGAAATTTCAGATACAGAGAAGAAAAAGCCCCAAATCGATCACCACAGTTCAATATATAGACATCTCCATGGAAACACTTAACAAATCAACAAGATGCTGGAGGAAACTGAAAGCAAACTAAATGAGTCTAAAAATGATACCAAATGAAGCGTACTTTTGCGGATTTTGAGGCGTTTAGAGACCTTATTGCTGATATAGCAGTAATAGCTGAAAGCGACGAGCAAAGAAACGAGAGCCAGGGAAGCGAGTACAACAATTGCCACAAGAACGAGTTGCTCTTTTCTTCGGTACTCATTGTCGACTTCCATTTCTCGGATCCAAACAAGAAGAGCGAAACCCTAGGCTGTTTAAAGCGTTTGAGATTTTAGAATATGGAGCGATGGTGGTGGGGGCGAAGGAGGAAGAAGATGAAGAACAGTGGCTTAGTTTTGGAGTGTGAAAATACTGACACTGCCTCTCCTCCCTCCACTCTCTCTGTTTGCGTGCCTTTTTCTTTTGCGTTGTTTTGTTTTATGGCGCGGACAAGGGTAACTTTTTTAGGTTCTTGCATTTGGGTCCTTGGATTTTTGTTATATTGCGATTAAACCCCTTTTTTTTTTTAAACTTTATGGGTGCACTTTTTTTTGTAGAAAGTTTTTTCTTTCCTTTTCCTAATTTTATCTTCTTGTAATACTATGAAAAATTTATTGTCTCGACTTTGATATATATATATATATATATACGCCTTATAGAAACTGTCTGAGACTGTCCCTTCGCCTATAGGTCATGACACAAGGCCAGAATTCAAGGTCAGAATTCTAGCTCTTCCATGACACAAGCTGCACAGGAAAGGCCCTGAGTCCAGGAAACAGTGAAGCTTCACATGGTCTTTATGTCAGCCTTCTCACTATTCTCCAAAAAGGGTAGACACAATGCGGTGTGTTGTATCAGCCTTCTCGCTGTTCCCCAAACAGGGTAGACACAAGGCGGTGTGCCAGTAAGAGCATTTCACTGGACAATATCTACTAGCGATGAAGTTGGACCGTTAAAGTAATATGAACTTGGACCGTTACAGTATTATAATTATTATAAACAGACATCACTAAAATGCCATAAATAGAGTAAAAAATTTAAGAACTCAATTGAATAAAAAATGTAAGAACTAAATTGAATCTTTGACTACATATTTGACCTTGACTAGATAATGGTCCCTAGTTTTTAAGTCACTTAACAATTTGATTTCATCACTTGGAAATATCAATTTTGCCCTTATTGTATCAAAAATTCTCAATTGAACCCTCCAAAAAATAAAGTTGTTAAATCAAGTTCAAAATCATTAAATTATTGATTAATTTTTGCGTCAAAACATAGCTAAAATGATAATATTATTTGTGCATTTATATCTCATATTTATTGTCCTAAAACAACCCATACTCAATCATTCTAACCTTAAATAATCTGATTTTTTGTCGAAGGGCATATTTTATATGTTAATTGAGTCATTCTCAAGTTGACTTCTAAGCTGGGCAGAGACCATCTTATCCCGTACGGTTCTATTTCTTGCAGTGTATAATCCCAAAAAACGACTTGAAAATGTAAGTGTGTTCATGAGAAATCAAAGTAAAGCCAATTCACACTACACAATATCTGAAGCCAAAAGCTCTTGTTATAGCCAAATTCACCACTTACATAATAACCAAAGGGCCTAATAAGCCCTCCTACTTTTTTCCACGAAGCTTAGTTCCAAGAGCTCTCTCAAGCTTGGTGATTATTTGTTGATTTGGAATGGCTTTGCCAGATTCGTACTCCTGAATGATTTGTGGCTTCTCATTGATCAACTAAAAGCCAAAAACAAACAAACAAAAGCTCATCACGTCTCTGTTACCAAGCTCAAAGAAGAATATGGCCAGTAACCAACCTGGCCCTGTGCGGGGCAGGCGTCGTCGGTAAGGTTTGTAAAGAAAATGCAAATGAAGTGGGCAAAAGCATGAACAGAAATGATACATACTTGAGCAAGCTGAGACTGAGTGAGCTTCTTATCTGTTCGAGCCTGCATAATGGCCTTCTTCAGCTCAGTTGGTACCTTTTCATCTGTGGTTACAGTAGATGAGCAGAAAAACCAAAATGTTAGTTTAGCTCCTATTATAAATCCAGAGCAAGTAAGGAGAAATCCTCTATAGCGAAGATTAAACTCGCACAGCATTGCTTGCATTCACGATGTGAGACATGGTTCGAAGTTGTAGTTTCTCAACTCGAGGTTCTAGAAGCAGCCACGACACAACAAGTTTGGGCTTGTATTAATTTCCATAAGCAAAAGGCAAGGAAGCTTGAAAAATGCTAAAAGGACGATTAAAAGAAAAACAAAGGATATATGGTATAAGATTGAATACAAACTACGAGAGCAAAAGTGTCGTTTAACAATACTCACTAATTTATAGGTATACTTTGTGAAACTTGATCTTGGTACATGATAAAAGGTTAAAAAGAATTGTAATTATTTTCTTCTAATAAGAAAATGATATTTCATTAATATACAAAAAGGGGCCAGCAAGCATCCTGAAGCTAATGGAAATTGCATCAGTTACCACTTAAGGAACAAGAAATTGTTTGGAAGGCAGATTGATCTTCTACCAACACTAGGGCTAACTATGAGATTCCGCATCGATTGGAGAGGGGTCCGAAGCATTCTCTATAAAAGGGGGTGGAAACCTCTTCCTAACAAACGCATTTTAATAACCTTGAGGGTAAGCTCGAAAGGAAAAGTCCAAAAAAGACAATATCTAGCTGTGGGCTTGGACTGCTACAAATGGTATTAGAGCTAGACATCGGGTAGTGTGCCAGCAAGAACGCTGGGCCCAAAGGGGGGTGGATTGTGAGATCTCATTTCGGTTGGAGAAGGGAACAAAGCATTCTTTATAAGGGTGTGGAAACTTGTCCCTAGCACACGCATTTTAAAAACCTTGAGAGGAAGTCCAAAGAAGACAATATCTGCTAGCCTTGGGCTTGAGCTGTTACACTAACAAACACTTTCTTCTCATGACCGTGTTAAAAGGGATACAAGGACTTGACCATAAATTCCAAAAATATTTTCCCTTTTACAAAAAGTTTCATTTTCATTTTTGGTTTGGCCTATGCAACATCCAATGCTAAACAAGTCACAGAGGATCGAAGTATATTACATTCTAATCAATGAAAGATACTTACCAAATTTCAATATTACATAATTTGCAGATATTCACATCAGAAAACTAAAAAAGTGAAACATAACATGAAATTCCTAACTACTATCCTAAAAGTATCCATAACAGTTTGAAATGCTCTCTAAGCACATAGTAAATACTCTTCTGAAGTCAACATACATACATACATACATAATGAACGCAATAAAAATAGTGAGAACAAAATAAATCTCAACACTAGCAAGAAATTAATATTGTCAGGTAAGAAAATAGACCACAAAATTTAAGGTTGATTCATCGTCTTTCATTAGGAATATCGTTCTTAATAAATTAGTATTTGCAGTTTCTGAGGGTCCTTCTAGCTCTATACGTCTGAGGGTCCTTCTAGCTCTATACGTCTGAGGGTCCTTCTAGCTCTATACGTCTGAGGGTCCTTCTAGCTCTATACGTCTGAGGGTCCTTCTAGCTCTATACGAAATTCTTGATTAATAATAAGATAAATCAATTTTTAGGTGAACTCCATAGATTTAGGGAATTGGTTACTATCCCCGAATAGCACAAAAGAGATAAAAAAAACTAGGGATATTGTAAATATTGGAACGTGCCGCCTACATTTATCTGTAAAAGGCATTAAGATGTAATGTACTCACGAGAGAGATTTTCTGTCTCATCATCCAACTTCCTGGTATTCAAACTGGTACCGCTAGAGGCAGCTTTATTTGTTCCAGCATTAGCTGAAGAAAGAAAGAAAAAACAAATCACAATACGGAAAAAATGGCTTTAATTAGTGGTTTCATTTAAAAATTAGAGGAGAAAAGGGAATAAGTGGCTAAGAAATTCATCTGAAGTGAACTGATTTTCTTTCTTTTTTCTGTTCTTGTTGAAACATATGCAAAATTAATTTATTCTAGAATGTTTATAATATTATCTTCAACAAGAAGTTCTAGAACACATGACCCGTATTGGTGACAACAGAGAAATTTAGTAGAATTCTTTGAGAGAAGAGAACTTTGTAATGAAAGAATGCTTGATTGATTTTCTACTTCTTCCGCCAATGCCAACATACATATATACAGGTAAATCGGGACATTCTCCATTACCGTTCATTATCCAAAAGTCATGCACCTATTTAATTATGAACCAATGAACCTACATGTATCCATTCATACATGTTTCTATACATGTATCTACAAGTGACCATTCAACGCATGTATCTATTCATACATGTATCCGAGTCATAATACAATCAGTATTCAAAAAACGATGATAACGTCAAATTTCAACAAACAAATCACAATGGAACTAGTTCATCATCTATCAGTTCGAGCGAACATCAAAGAGCGATAAACAAATTTCCACAATCGAGCACCATTCCAGTAAAAGAAAAAAAAAACTATCTCAAATTCAAGATCAACAATCATTCTACAAACACGCAAGAAAAAAATGTTGCAGGATTGATGATGAATAATAGAAATAAAACAGAAAAGAGAAATGGAAATAGGAGCAAACATTTCTTTAAGGTTTCGATCTCGGCACCGGCGCGGCGGGCGGCGTTTACAGCTTTCTCGTCCTTCTTGGCGGCGGCGTTGGGAGCCTTCTTCCTGATGACAACAGGTTCCCAATCCTGTGAAATGGGTCCAATTCCAGACATTTTCGTCTCCTCTCCCTGTTTCTGCAACTCTCTGTGCGGTAGGAAAATATTTGCCGCCGAGCTTTAGGGTTAGAAGATGAGTGGGAAAAGTAAATAGAAACGAAAACTCGATATATCCCCATACGCCCCCTGGCGGTAATAAATACAGAGTTCTAGATAATTTACCCTTCATTTTCACAAAATTAAAAATTACGCTAAATATTTATTTTTAGAAAAATACTAAGCGCCAGTAACAACAATTTAATATTTTTGAAAATTTTTAGATCGTTCTATATTATCTTTTGTTGTACATACATGAAGTTATCAATAAAATCTTTAGTCAATATTTCGAAACCATATATATACCACATTAGGCCGTGTCGTTCTCTGTATTCTCTCTTGTTGTACATACCTGAAATCATCAATAAAACCTTTAGTCAATATTCCTCAATGAAATTATCTCTGGTTGTATATACTAGAAATCATCAATAAAACTTTTAGCCAATATTTCTCCTTGAATTCTCTCTTGTCCTGTCGTTCTCTGTATTTTCTCTTGTTGTACATATTAGAAGTCATCAATAAAAGTCTCTCTTGTCCTGTCGTTCTCTGTATTCTCTCTTGTTGTACATACTAGAAGTCATCAATAAAACTCTCTCTTGTCCTGCCGTTTTCTGTATTCTCTCTTGTTATACATACATAAAATCATCAATAAAACCTTTATTCAATATTCTTCCTTGAATTTTTTCTCTCCAGTCTCTCTTGTCTCTCCTATCGTTCTCTGTATTCTCTCCTGTCTTGCTTGTCGTTCTTTGTATTCTCTCTTGTCTCTCATGTCGTTCTCTATATTCTCTCATGTCCTCCTATCGTATTCTCTCTTGTTGTACATACCTAAAGTCATCAATAAAACCTTTAGTCAATTTTCTCTCTCCTATTCTTTATATTCATCTTGATCGAGTGTGTGCGTTACTGCATTATTGAGTAAGCGATCCTAACAACTAATATCAAAACTAACTAGTATCGATCCTAACATTTGTTTGTGTCTTAAAGTTTATGAACGGTAAAAATATCAAATTAACCAATGAAATTAAATCCAAGATTAAAAATTGAAATAACATATCATATCAAATTAAAACCTAGTTTGGATAGAATTAAAAATTTATAGAATTATTAGGTCTTATTTGACGCTAAACTTTTAATTTAAACTCGGAGGAAAATAGTTTATTTAAAAAAAAATCATTTTTTTTAATGGTGTTTTAAGGTCTAAATCCAGCAGAAATGACATGTAAGCCCAAGCAAAAAATCAACTTTACTTGGGCCAGTGGGTATAGCATTCTCTCTCTAAATCCAGTATGATGAATATGTCATCTTAGCATAATATACACTCTCTCTACTCTCTCTACCACTGTGAAAGTCTCACGTCTGTTCATTGTTGGTACGAGGCCTTCTGGAGAAGCCCAAAGCAAGCCATGAGAGCTTATTCTCAAAATGGACAATATTATACCAGTGTGGACAGTCGTATTCGTCGATGGTATCTCGAAAAGGAGTCAAGCCTCGATTAAGAGGAGGTGTCTTTTGTTCGACGAGAGGTGTTGGATGAAAGTCCCACATCAAGAAATGATCATGAGTTTATAATCAAATAATACTCTCTGAGGCCTTTTAAAGACCCAAAGCAAAGCCATGAGAGCTTATGCTTAAAGTGGACAATATCATACTATTGTGGAGAGTCATGTTCATCTAACACTTATAACATTAAGGTTTATGGGTACTCGAAATAAACTAAATCTAAACTATAACTTACGTAATTTGGACTATAACTATATCGACAGGCACATACGACAAGAACGTTTACAAAAGAGCACACTCAAACGCTCACTAAATACTTTATAAATCAAAAGATTTAAATTCATCAAAATTAAAAACTCATTATAAAATCCCTCGAATTAACGAAAGTAATGAAAGAAAAGAAATGTTTAATTCTATACGGGTCGATTTCAGGTCCCAAATAATACGAAGAACCTAATCCTAATAGAATCCTACGCTCCAAAGGATAAGATTGCAAATTTTATTTTATTTTATTTTTCAAAATTCCAACTATGTATTCAAAGCCATGTTTTCAAGCAAATGAATGAATGTATATAATTTCTTCTATTAAATCCCTACCCATTTATTGACCCACCTGTCACAAGATGAGTTATTATATAATTAGTAATTACCTTATAATAATCAGGTACATTCGTTCATGGCAAACGGGAGAGTCTCAATCCCAATGGAGACAGTATTATTTGATTATAAATTCATGATCGGGACTTTCATCCAACACCTCCCTTCGTACAAACTATGCCTCCCTTTAATCAAGGCTCGACTCCTTTTTTCTTAGAGTTTTAGTCATTTTTTACTATGTCTTCGAGGCTCATGTTCGACATTTGAGGATTCTAATGACATGGCTAAGTTTAGGACATGACTTTGATACCATGTTAGATGAACACGACTCTCTATAATGATATAATATTGTCCACTTTGAGCATAAACTCTCATGGCTTTGCTTTAGGCTTCCCCAAAAGGTCTCACACCAATATGGAGACAGTATTATTTGATTATAAATTCATGATCATTCTCTAAATTAGGTGACATGGAACTTTCATCCAACAAAATCTCAAACCACAGGAAGTGAAGGTGAAGAGAAAATTTTTACCACTTCAAGAACGAGAAAATATATACAATATTCAATTCTAGAAATGACATGAACTCACCTAACATGTTTTAATTCCATAGATTCAAAATTTAATCAATAACATCAAAGATCATAACTCAAGTTGAACAGTGTAGATATCGCAAAGTATGATAGTATAATAAGCAAAACAGGGATTGAATTTTCAACGTCAGGTAAAATCATAAAGCCAATTAGGGGATGTGTTAGAATCAATGGACAACCATCTCACCTATCACGTCTATCACATCAGTCGCACGATCCGTATGTATGTGTGTAAATGTGTCCTATCCTGTTCTCACTAAACATACTCAAAAAGAAGACTAAGAAAACTCTAGTTTCCACTTTCCATATCGATCTCATTGCAACTCACAAGCAATTAAATTCACCCAAACACTACCGAGAACGTCGAGTATAAACGCACCAATGAAGAAAAGTAAGTTTCAGTAAATATGGAAAAAGAAGCAAAACCATGTCATTTTTCAATTTAGCAGCATAAAATAGATAATCCAATCCAGAGAAAGATATGGAAGGCCCACAACTTTATATGAAAGAGCACAAAATCAACTTAAGTAGTCAATTTCCAAAGCAATGAGGGATGCCCACAAACCACACACATATACCACATATTAACAATTGGATAACATAAAATAATAATGACCACCCAACATGAGATTTATTCGAGTGACCGTCCAAATTTAGCCTACACTAAAAGCCAATCATTCAAATGACTTTTCCCTGTTATGAATGAGTATAGAATTCATTATGACCTGTTTAAGATGCTTTATACTTTATAAAGAGAACTTTAGATGCTCCGCTCCTCCCAGGCCTAAAGCAAAATATTGCGGAAAAAAAAGCACCTTTTTAGCTCATCATGTTAAATCTATAAATTCCATCAAACATATATGTCCGTACATAAAACAAAATGCGCATCCAAGTAACCAACCCCAACATAGGGGTGAGGCCAAGGTCAATTGATGATTATTGTGACCTACTAACGTATTCTTATCATTCCAATGCTAATCTTATAAAGTTTCACCAATAAACATAATGAACGCTTTATTTCGTAGCTAATTACCAACAATTTTGTTCTAGCTATTTCATTTTGTCCTCTAGCTGTGTGAGATCCTACATCGATTTATAAGGGTATAGAAACGTCTCCCTATTAGACGTGTTTTAAAACCTTGAGGGAAAGACCAAAAAAGATAATGTTTTCTATCGGTAGGCTTGGTTTGTTACAAATGGTATCAGAGCCAAACACAGGACAGTGTGCCAGTGAGGACACTAGCCCCCAAGGGAGATGGATTGTGAAATTTCATATCAGTTGGAGAGGGGAACGAAACAAGGGTGTGGAAACCTCATCCCCACCTCATCCTATCAGACACGTTTTAAAACCTTGAGAGGAATCCCAAAAAGAATCATATCTGCTGACACTGAATTTAGACAACAAACCGTTTCTTTCCTACTTCGTCATTGAGTACAAACAATCATACAATTTGTTCGTGAGGCCAAATGGAAGATAGATGGTCCTCGTATGACACAAGCATTAGAGAAAGAAATGGTGGGGGATGGGAGGAGAGAGGGATGAATAGAGGTGTGATAAATTGAGAAATAAATCAATCAAAAATATGTAAGAATGATTTGATTGCAACCATCATGGGCAAAGAGACGAAGAAAAACATTATGGATCCAAATTTCACGACTTCCATCTATCATATATGTATTTAAATCTTTTGAATTCGTTGGCAACTGAATATTGTCGCAACTAGCCACGAAATCGAACAAAGATTCACAAATTGGCCAAATATTAGAGAGATAAATTTTTTATTTCAAAAAAATAATACATGAGAAACTGATCAATTTATTTAGAACAAAGGTCCAGAATTATGAGTATATTTGGAATTGACCCTAGATATTTATCAACATACACATCAAGCTAAATAAATATCCAACACTGGATGCTTCAAATTTTCATTCAATCTATTTGCAGACTACGTAATTTATGCCGGCATCTTTTTAAGTATGCTAGCATAAATTATTAGGAGGCTATTCGAGAGCAGAGGAGTATGTTAATCTCAGGTTAATTTAGTGGAAGATGGTATGATATTGTCTACTTTAAGCATAAGTTTTCGTGACTTTCTTTTGTATTTTTCTAGAAGGCCTCGTACTAATGGAGATGTTATTGTTACTTATAAACTCATAATCAATCCCTTAATTAGTCGATGTGTCATCTCCCAACAATCCTCCCCTTGAACAAATTACACTATAGAGCCTCCCATGAGACCTATGGAACCATCAGATAGTCTCTCCATAATCGAGGCTCGACTCCTTCTAAGAAGCGCTCGAACAAAATACGCCATTTGTTCGACACTTGCGTCACTTTTGACTACACCTTCGAGGTTCACAACTTTTTTGTTCGATATTTGAGGATTCTATTGACGTTGCTAAGTTAAGGATATGACACTGATACCATGTTAAAAATCACGACTCTCCACAATGGTATGATATTGTCCACTTCGGACATAAGCTCTCATAACTTTGCTTTTGGTTTCTCGAAAATGCCTCATACCAATGAAAATGTATTCTTATTTATAAATTCATGATCTACCCCTAACTCCTTACTTAGCTAGCCGATGTGGGACTCCTCTCCCAACAATCCTCAATAGTTTCCTAATTTACATGCAAAAAGTAAACGTTACCGGGCAGCAGCGCGTTATTTCTGTATTGGATGCTTGCTGTCTGTTGCCTTCTCCATACAATTGGGCAATGGCAAGGTGAACAATCCAAATCCCAGAAGGCAATAGCAAACTAGCCATCATCATAATTCTGCAAATGAGCCCCAAATGAAATCAAGTAGTAAAAAGGAATAGAAAAAAGGTATGAAATTCAAAAGTAGTAATTGGAAGTAACTGTAGGATTCAATAAATGAGAAATTGAAAGTGCAATACAAAAGGTTTTCAAGTAACGTTTTTCTCCAAAGAATGAATGACTTTTTCCACAAAAGGTATATATGTTTAGGCACTAACAAAAACAGGCGATCCTGACTGAGTGGTGGAATTTAAGTTACAGTTGATAGGGAGTTGACGGCAGCAGGCATAATTCAAAATGGACTAAAAAAAGATCTGCTTTCAAGTCTAACCGATTACTCTTCAAGACAATCTAACTATTTAATTCCAATTTCATCATTCAAATGAGATTTTTTTTTTAAAAAAAAAAAAATTATAAGAGACCATTTGAATGAGAGAGAGGTAGAATTATAAAAAATAAAAATACTAGAGATCCAAAATAGCCCTAAGAAGACATAATCCCAAGCGGATACTTGACATGTACCTCCTCTTCTCGGTTCATCACAAGGGAACGAAAACCAAGAGTTTACACAGCTTGATAAACAAAATTGTTGAAAAGTATTGTGTAGGTCTGTCTTTTCTACAAATATTCTCTAATTTCTTTCTTTTAATATATTCAAAAAAAAAAGTCATAATAAGGGTTTTAGCTTTCGCATTCTTGAGAGTGTGGTACGTTAAAGCCATATCTAAAAGTTTCTTTATCTTCCTTAGAGGAGGGAGTCCATAGGTCTCAGAAGACTAATGATTATAGGTTTATAAGTAAGAAAATAGATCTGCAAGATATTTAGGGGAAACCCAAAGTAAAGCCACGAGAGCCGCTCAAAGTGAATAATATCATATCATTGTAGAGAATCGTGATTTGTAACGTAAAGAAGAAATGAATTTTTTAAAATAAAATAAAATAAAAATTTAAACAATTATCTCCTTGCAAAGCTTGAAGGTCAGATTCGGGAGAGTTGGTGACAGGGAGGTCTCATCCATATCTGGATACAGGGGGAGTCACACAAGATAAAATGGTCCAATTGGACGAATTTACCCTCCTTAGTTAACGCACGCGCCAGGGAAGATCGTGAAGAGCCACTCCCTGATCCAGATACATCGTATTCACGTGGCTCTCCCTTGCAAGACAAATCCACCAGTTTCGACAACTGTATCTCTCCCTCCCAAACGAAGCTGAGAAAAGAAAAGAAGGAGAAGGCGCGGAAAATCGCCAGGAAAGAAGAAAGTCAAGCAATCAAAGAGGGATGCTTTGATCAACGAGCACACGACCGGGGAACGCCGTCGACTGAAATGGCCGGAACTTCGATAAATGACTTGCCGGACGTTCTCCTGTCGAACATACTGGCGATGGTCTCCGACACCCGGACGAGGAACTCGCTGTCTCTTGTATGCCGGAAATTCTTGTCTTTGGAGAGGGCCACGCGCTTTTCTCTCTCACTGAGGGGGAACGCTGAAGACCTCTACGGGATCCCGACGTGCTTCAGATCTGTAACCCACCTGGACCTCTCGCTTGTCTCGCCGTGGGGACACGTGTTCCTCTTCTCGTTGCCTGATCCCCATCTTCTCGCCCACCGCCTCCGCGGCCTCTTTCCATTAGTCACGTCTCTCACCGTCTATGTGCGATCCTCAGCTACCCTTCAGATTCTCGCCCGTCAATGGCCAGGATTGCGCCACGTTAAGCTGGTTAGGTGGCATCAACGGCCGCAATCCGTCCCTGGGGAGGACCTTGCCCCTATTTTCGAACATTGTCGATCTCTATCCACGCTGGATTTATCGGAATTCTACTACTGGATTGAGGACATTCCGCCGGTTCTGCTAGCCAATCCCCTGACAGCTAAATCAATTTCGAAGCTAAATTTGATGACAACGTCGTTCACTGATGGTTTCAAATCGACGGATATAGTAACCATTACCGAGGCTTGCCCCAACCTCAGCCAGCTTCTCATGGCGTGCACGTTTGATCCCAGGTATTTTGGGTTTGTAGGAGATGAAACTCTGTCCGCTATAGCTACTAATTGTCCAAGACTTAGCCTTCTTCACCTTGCGGATACTTCGACAATGGCGAGTGTCCAAGGAGACCCCTCCGCCGATGGTTTCACGCCAGAAGACGCTAGAATTAGCACAGCTGCTCTAATTGAGCTATTCTCCGGGCTGCCATTGCTAGAGGACTTGCTTCTGGATGTTGCTAAGAATGTCCGGGATAGCGGACCGGCACTAGAGGTTCTGAACACTAGATGCCGGAAATTGAGGAGTCTTAAGCTTGGGCAGTTTCATGGAATCTGCATGGCGGTGGGTTCACGGCTCGATGGGATTGCACTTTGTCAAGGGCTTGAATCGCTGTCGGTCAAGAATTGTGCGGATTTAACTGATATGGGTTTGATAGAAATTGGTAGGGGATGTGTGAGGTTATCCAAGTTCGAAGTGGAGGGATGTAAGAAAATTACAATGAAGGGTTTGAGGACAATGGTGAGTTTGCTCAAGAGAACTCTCGTGGACGTCAAAATTTCATGCTGTGATAATCTTCATACCATAGCTTCTTTGCGAGCTCTAGAGCCAATTCAAGATCGGATTCGTCGTGTTCATGTCGATTGTGTATGGGAAGGCTCTGGAGAAGATTGTGAACTTGGGAACTTCAACCTCGACGAAGTTGATGAACTTACCAGTTGTTCAACTCATAGTCTCTTTGAGGGGGAAAACAATGGCGGATATTCAAGGAAGAGGAAGAGATCCAAGCACTCCACTGAACCTGACTGTTCCTTCTCCATGGAGAGCAATGGTAGTGAATTATGGAAGAGATGGGATCGTTTGGAGTATCTGTCTCTATGGATTGGAGTGGGTGATTTCCTGAGTCCATTGCAGTCAGCTGGTTTAGATGACTGCCCAGTTCTGCAAGAGATTCAGATCAAAGTGGAAGGGGACTGTCGGGGACGGCACAAACCAATGGATACATTTGGGTTAAACATCCTTGGACAATATCCTCAGCTAACGAAGATGAAGTTGGATTGTAGTGACACAATAGGCTATGCGCTAACCTGCCCATCAGGCCAGATGGATCTCACCTTGTGGGAGAGGTTCTTTCTAAATGGTATAGGTAGCCTAGGACTTACAGAGCTTGATTATTGGCCACCACAGGACAGGAGTTTCAACCAGAGGAGCCTATCTCATCCAGCTGCAGGGCTATTAGCAGAGTGCCTCACTCTGAGGAAGCTATTTATACACGGAACAGCTTATGAACACTTCATGAATTTTCTGCTTAATATTCCGTATCTACGAGATGTACAACTAAGGTTGGATTACTACCCAGCACCGGAGAATGATATGAGTACAGAGATGAGAGCTAGGTCTTGCAGTCGCTTTGAAGCTGCACTTAACAGACGCCTAATCCCTGATTGACATCAGCACGTGGCCAGTGCTTGTTCTAGTTAGAAAGCAATTGTATGGTTAGTCCTTGTTTTAGGAATCAAGATACATCACTGCTTACTTTGAGATTAGCTGTGTATCATTTTCACTTCAGATTTATCACTCTCTGTCATTTGAGGAACCCATTAAACTTCGTTCTAATGCAGATGTTCCAGGAATAACAAACTCTTTAGTCTTTCTGACAGTAGATTCATGATAAAAAAGATGGTTCAAAAAGAAAGGAAAGAAAAGATACGACAAAGCTAGTATGAGATCTATCCAATGCTAAATGTAGAGGCACATAATAGATCGATATGAACATCATGAGCTGTCCCGTAGTAAAATCTATTGTTGCTGATACTTTATTCTCGATTCCTTCTTTCATTACCCGAGCTCGGAGAAGGAAGAAATAAGAAGGCTCTATAGAAAATGTGGTTAGAAATCCATAATAGAGTCCGACCACAATAACCGAATGATTATCCAGATGATAAAAATATGATAGATTTAATCTATAAGCCTCTACTAGAACCTCTGAAAAAAAAAAAATGAGATTATCTCATCACCTTCCGGAATTTATGAGGTTGTTCAAGTTCTAAAGAGTAAAGGGCGAGTTTTTAGCTGGATGAGCTTTAGATGTAAAGTCAGACGGAAGATTTCATCCCATATGGCAACATTAATCATGGTTTCAATGTATAAACCTGACCACCTTTTAAGGTTGAGTCAACCTAGAATCCTTCGTTATCAACAAACTAACTTGCCTAGACAGAGAACTAGGATAATTGGATGAACATTCAAATGCAAACTTGCTATCCTTGTAGCCACTTGAATATCCCCAGATACTGATTTAATCCATTTGGGAGTTCGAACGGATGACTCTCCATCACTCCATCACTTTTTCTGTAACAGCTCAAGCCCACTGCTAGCAGATATGGTTCACTTTGATCCGTTACATATCGTCATCAGCCTCACGATTTAAGAACGTATCTACTAGGAAGAAGTTTTCACACTCTTATAACAAATATTTTGTTCCCCTCTCCAACTAATGTGGGATCTCACAATTCATCTCTCTTTAGGGCTTAGTGTTCTCGTTGGCACACTGCACGGTGCCTAGTTCTTATACTATTAGTAACAGTTCAAGTCCACTGCTAGCAAATATTGTCTATTTTAGTCCGTTACACTCGCCATCATTCTCGTAATTTTAAAACATGTTTGTTAGGGAGAGATTTCCGCACATCATTTTCAATTTCTTGTTAATTACATCATTTAGAATTTGCAGGATAACCATTAATCGAACACCTCTACATGAAATATATTGAATAAAACAAGAAACAGCACACATGAAGCACCAAATCAGAAAAGTACACGGATTGGAAAAGTGAAGATGCAGAATGAAAAACGTCCAGAGTTTCTAGACAGATGACATACCTCTAAACAGATGGGTATTGCGAAACTCATGAGACATTCTCCAAGGAAGAACTCATTCCGCTTTGGCCCGTTTCATATCGTCATCGCCCTTATAGTTTTAAAACACGTCCGTTAAAGATAGGTTTTTACATCCTTACATAAAATGTTCCATTCCCCTCTCTAACCAATCTCCAAACGACTTGGGATCTGTAGTTGTTTAAGTGGGGAAGTTCAAGAATATAATCCCATTACAAGAACAACCAATAAAAGATCAGAGTTCCAAGCATACAGATAATTTCAAATGGTTAGTGACATAAGCTTCATTTAGACAAAACTTAAACTAACCACAGATTTCTTGGTCCAGGGAGAGTATGAGTATAATGGAACGATGATTCCTCCCCTATTGGATTTCAAGGGCAATGATGCAGTAAGAAACAGCTACAGCCGCCAATGTTCAAACAAAAAATATGAACATCAATAAATTTCAATCTCATAGCATTTAGTTGAAACTTCTCAATTTCCCATATGGCTAACTGGCATCGCCGTCAATTCTCGAACGCTAAACAATATTAAACAAGACTATTTGACTCTTCGAAGTAACAAATTTCAAACTCATACCTCCATAAGTTTCTGTGAAGTGCCGATTCCGAAGTTTGCCGCCATTCGCCGTCAACCAGGCATCAATGTGTCAATTCTTCTGAACCGGAATCCTCTCCTCACGGCAAATAATGGATTGAATAAGCATTAAACCTCGCGCATCTGCATCCTCGATCGTCGCTCTCATCGCTCGGGCTTCCTGCAATTTAACGATGACGAATTAGCTGATCGACGCCTACGGCAATGCGTTCTACTCGCAGAGAGACAGAGATTGCAGTTCTGCGCGGAATGCCACACCTCCAAGAGGATTCGCCCATTTGGTGCGATAACTTCCCCCGCGCTGAACAAAAATCGTTTTTCATTTTTTGGCTTCGCGCTTTTTCTTTTTCTCTTTTTCTCTTTTTTTTTTTTTTTT